CCGCTGCTGCCCCCATGTCCAGTGAGGAGAGAAAGAGCAGCACCACTTCTCTCTCGCACAGTCTTGAGATTGGGCTCAGGTACGTTTTTGGGGGGATGAAGGAGAGCTGACCATGGAAGGTTTTTCCCGTAATGCCTAGAATGTGTTAAGGTAAAAAAAAAACGTAAGCCATTACAATTCCTTTTAGACAGCTTTTGTTTTGATGTAACTGAAATTTTCTTAAGTGATTTAACCACTTGACCTCCGGAAGGTTTTACCTCCATCATGATTAGGGCATTTTTGCTATTCAGCACTGTGCTACTTTAACTGGCAATTGCAAGGTCACGCAACACTGAGAAATGATTATATAAATTTAATTTGGGTACAAAGAGCTTTCTTTTGTTAGTATTTTTATTTTTTGCTATATAAATGAAAATATACAGAAAATATTGAAAAAAAACACTTTTTTCTTCATTTCTGTTATACAATTTTGCAAATAATTAATCTTTCTTTATAAATTTATTCTGCTACATTTCTTTGGTAAAAAATAATCCAAATCAGTCTACAAAGTATGATATGTATACATGTTTGAAAATTGATCAGTCCTGATGTACTGATAGCTTATCTCATTTCTTGAGGCCCCAAAATGCCAGGACATTACAAATATCCCCAAAAGACTCCTTGTTGGAAAGTAGATATTTAGTAAGAGTGATGGCAAGTTTTTTGAAATTGTATTTTTTTTGCAACAAGTTAAATAAAATGTGTTTTTTTTTTTTTTTTACAATTTTGTTTACATACTATCACCAGTGCAGTACACCGTTATCATGTGACTAGTGTGGCAGTGATCAGGTATACAGTCTGGTGACAGTATGTAAAAAATAAAAGCAATTTTTAAAACATTTTCTTTCTTTTTAACTTTTTTTTTTTTACGTACTTTCATCAGAATAGTTCAGTGTCACCATAGTAATCTAGGAGCCAAATAAAAAAGTTAGGAGCCAGGTGGGCAGAGACAGCATGACAGGTGGGGGGCAGCAGGTTAGGAGGGGGGGGGCAGCGGCACAGGTGGAGGCAGTGTCATGGGAAGGATGCAGCCGTACAGGTACCTGTCCTCCCAGCTCTCATCTGTCCAGCTCCTCCAGATGGTGTCAGTGGAGAGGATCTGGTGCCAAGAGGGGTAGCTGAGCCTGTGTTCGCCTGGTTGCTGTGGTTGGTGGGGGGGGGGGGTCAGCACCAAGCTGGGGGTGGGGCTGTATGGTGTCCCACAGGTGGTGGGACTTGGTGGCTTCAGTCTGCAAGCAGTGCTCCTCTGGGGGGGAGCTGCATGTATTGGTGGCTACCACCGTTAAGGTGATGGGCGCCAGCGTGCGGCACTGTGGCTGCATCCTCTGCTCCATTGGCTCTGTGGGGGGGGGATGTATGGCCATGGAGTGGGGGCAGGCCTGCGGTGTCCTCTAGGGGGCTGGCTTTCGTGGGGCTGTGCGGGGAGTTTGGGAGTATTCTTTGCCCAAGAGAGGTGTTCACTGGGGGGGGGGCTCTGCCTGGACTCTGGGGGTCCGGGCTGGGCTCCATTCTGTGGGGCAAGAGAGACTGCCAGCCGAGGATAGGATGCAGGGTGGGGGAGCGCAGAGCATTGTGGGCTGTCAGGGGCCCAGGCGCCAGGATGCGGGTTCTGGTTAGTGTGGCAACCTGGAAATTGTTGAGCCAGGAGGTAGTCAGTAGGACTACTAGGCTCAACAAGCCTACTATGGGAAAATATAGACTATATTAAACAATAAAAGGGAAAAAATATAAAACAGAGATTTATAAATTCTGCATCCAATTGATAAATAACTATTTTGCCATGTGCAGTGTGTCCCCAGGTCAAGCATGCAGGATTACCTCCTCTCCCCCGCTCAGCTTCTCCTCCAGCTAGTAGAGCAGGGTGCTCTGGTTCTGGGAAACCCCCACATCCCTGAGCCTGGCCCCCGCCTCCCTCAGCTGGGCCATCTTCAGCAATACCCCAGGGAGGGCAGCCGCCGGGGATCCCCAGCTGGACTGCACTCTGCTAGCCGTTCACTCCTCCTGCGGTGTCAGCAACTGCCATGCTGCTCTCTTCCTACTCTATCCCAGGTTAGTCTTCATCCCTATTCACGTTCCCCATAATGATGGCAGTGCCGAGCAGTAATCTGTTGAGGGCCTACGAGGCCACCTTCACCTTCCCAGCCAAGACCTGCAGCCCACCCTGTAATGGCAGCTGAGGCACCTGTCAATGACCAAATCCCAGGTGCCAGGATGCAATTTCTAATCGCCATGTGATTTATCAAGTAAAATAAAAAAGCATGAGCAAATGAATGCTGAAACTCCTGCGCTGGACGCTGAACTCCACAAAGTCAGTAACCCCACATGGAGTACTTTTTGGGAATGCAAGCCTTGCTGCCCTCAACAGACTAGGGAAATCCAAAGAAGCTGTGTGCAAAGAAACAGAAGGTGCACGGGCCTATTGCATTACTTCTAAAAATGAAATTTATTGAATAAAAGTAGTATACTCACAAAAGAATAAAATCAAAGGCACATCACAAACAAGACAGCATAGTCCAATCTCCATAGATGGTGGCTGTTGGGGGAGTGTAGGCTTCCAAATGGTTTACATGTTTTGAGGCAGAACCTCTTCCTCAGACAAGGAAGAGGAAGAGGTTCTGCCTCGAAACGCGAACGAGGAAGAGGTTCTGCCTCGAAACGCGTCAGTCATTTTGGAGGCCTACAGTCCCCTAACAGCCACTATCTAGGGAGATTGGACCATTTTGGAGGCCTACAGTCCCCAAACAGCCACCATCTAGGGAGATTGGACCATTCTGTCTTTTTTATGATGTGCCTTTTGATTTTATTCTTTTGTGAGTATACTAGTTTTTATTCAATAAATCTCATTTTTAGAAGGTAATGCACTAGGCCTGGCTACCCTCTGTTTGTTTCTTTGCACACTGTGATTTATCAAGCCCTGAGCTAATCACATGGTACAGGGTGCTGTGGGCCAATCACAGCATCATTATAGGAATCACAACTGTTATAAATGAAATTAATTCATAACAGATTGTCAGCATTGTGATCATGTGATCGCATAGCAAATGCAGTATGTCCAGGGGTGGACTGACCATTTGGGAACTCTGGCACTGCCCGAGGGCCCGGGGTCAGAAGGGGGCCCCATGAGATGCCCTGGTACCTTTTAACAGGCTTTTTTGGGTGTGGTTTGCATGTGGGCAAGGACACAGGGGCCCCATGGTCCCCTATTGCCCGGGGGCCCCGTGAGTTGTCAGTCCACCCCTGAGCATGTCTGCATTTTATCGCACCATGCTGCAGCACAGCTCCAGGCTGCATTGCAGTGTGAATGGGACACACAGGAAGCATTTGCTACAATGCAGTAAAATGCCTCTCACCGCACAGGTTTTTTTTATGTCTGTGGATGTAGCTCTATTTTAGCCAATGTGTAGATGCATATTATGGCATTTAGATTTGTATTTTAGTACAGTGTTTAGAGGCATAAAAAATGCCCCAAACCTTTGTTTTTGGAGGCGCTTACTGACATAGTTTGTGAACATATGTGCACGAATATGCAAAATACCTCCTACTGGGTAGAATAAATGATTTTTTTAAGCTGATGGAATAAATTTATGCGCATACACTTCTAAACACTAGCCACCTGTAAATGCACATAAACATGCATAGTTGTATGCCAAAACAAGAATTTGTAAACTGGATTTTTCTGACAGCAAGATTCAGCATACGTAGGAGTATTTTAATCTACCCGTGTGCATGAAGCCTAATATTTCTAGTTATATAAGCATGCTGGGGCTTGTAGTTCCACAAAGGCGGATCATTCCCTGGTTTTAGCAGAGTGGGACGAGGTAGAAATACAGGAAAATTACATTTTTGTATGGATAATGTTGCTTCCACTTTTAGCTTTTGATGGATGCTTCTAATTTATTATAAATTTGTATAATAATTCTTGCAATTGAATGCCATCGCTGTAATGTTTTAAAAATTCATCGTGAGAGATCTGCCAACAGTTTATTTTGTTTGTTGCGGTCTTGTGATATTTCTTTTGGTGTCAGTTGTGGTAGCTGCTGTTAACTCTTGGCGACATCTGCAGTTGTTGATTCCAAGACTGTATGAATCATAATAAAGATTCAATTGATTTCATAATATGTAGTCCAAAGAATTACCCAAGTCATTTTCTTTTCATTTGTTTGTATTTATTTGCTTATGTGGTGTCTGCTGCATGCTGTGCTTGATAAAGTTACAACATGCATTAAAATAATGAAACAGTAAATAGAAAACACTGGGATAATTCTGCAAATATCCCAAAAAGCATGAAAAATATGGAGGAGATTTAGCAAGTGATTTGTACCAATTGTTTAGTAGCTCCCACGCAGGAGAATCAGCAACTTAAACTGTGACTAGACAGCGCTTCTATCCCCTGCACCCCACAATAATGTCCAGGACCAGTTCTGCAAGATTCAAAAAACTGCATTACAAAAAAGCAGGAATTTGGAGATTTATTCTATACATTTTCAGGGGAAAAAAAGCTGCAAGCATAAAAACTAGTCTAGGATGTCATTTAGTTAGGCAGATATGTAAATTAAAATTATTTTCAGTTGATTTTGACTAATAAAATACATCTTTATATTTTTTAATATGTGGTCATTACAGAGGACAAGGGGCACTTTTATGGCTGGAGGAAGTAAGATTGACTCACCACATACAGAAATGCTTCTTCAAAGTAAGAGCTGTGAAAATGTGGAATAGGCTACCTCACGAAATAGTTCTAGCCAGCTCAGTAGATTGTTTTAAAAAGTGCTGGATGCACAAAATCTAACTGGAAGCTAACATTTATAGGTAACAATACCAGGGATAGGTGATCCAGGAGAATTCCTCTGGGGGTATAGGATTTTGTATATTGAGATTTTCTTTTCCTTCTATTAGAGATGGACCTCCTTTTAACCTGACTAACTAACTATGAACTATGTACGCTTTAGTTTAAAGTGTTACTAACCCCACAACAGTACAATCAGTCTGTATATGCAGTAAAGCATGCTTGTTATACTCACTGTGGAACCTAAGGGGTTAATCCTCTGCATTGTGTAAAAAGGTTGTTTGACCCTCTCTTCTAAGATCCCCCCTTTTTCTATTGTCCCCAAGTCATCTGCTGATAGTACAGACCTCTAGGAGTCACTCTGCACATGCTCAGTTTAGTGTGTATGGCTAGAGAGGTTGTTTTTTTTTGGGAGGGTGCATGTGATCTGCACAGGGCCAATCAGCACTGTCCAGACAGGGAGTCAAGGATTATGCAGCCTCATAGGACAGTCAGAGCAGAATGAAAACTCCTCCTACAAGCTTTAACCAGTGCTCAGCTGGCCACTAATAGAAGTCACAAAACTGTTGATGAGAAAATGTATTTAATAATTTATATTTACTAAAATAATTGCATTTCCATGTTCTGTGTACCGTGGGAGATCAAAATATAGGTGTTGCGGGGTCCTGGGTTTAGTAACACTTTAAAATATGTTAAAGTGTTACTAAACCCAGGACCCTATATTCGCTATATCTGATCTCCCATGGTACACAGAACATGGAAATGTAATTATTTTAGTAAATATAAAACTGCTAAATACCTTTTTTTCATCAGCAGTTAGAGCAGTCTTGTGACCAAAGGCGGACTGACCATTCGAGCACTCGGCACTGCCCGAGGGCCCGGGGACAGTAAGGGGCCCCATGAAATACCCCTGGTACCTTTTATAGGCTTTTTTGGGTGTGCTTTGAGTGTGGGCAAGGACACAGGGGCCCCATTATCCCCTATTGCCCAGGGGCCCCATGAGTTGTCAGTCCGCCCCTGCTTTTGACTTCTATCAGTGTCCAGCTGAGCACTGGTTAAAGCTTGTAGGAGGAGTTTTCATTCTCCTTTCACTGCCCTATGGGACTGCATAACCCATGACTGCCTGTCTGGAAAGTGCTGATTGGCCCTGTGCTGAGCACATGCACTCTCCCAAGAAAAAGGAAAAACTCTCTAGCAGTACTCACCAAACTGAGCATGTGCAGAGTGTTCCCGAGGCTGTGTTCTATCAGGAGATGAAATGGGGAACGTGGAAGAAGGGGAGGATCAGAGAAGACAGGATCAAACATCTTTTTTACACAAAGCAGAGGATTAACTTCTTAAGTTCTACAGTGAGTATAACACGCATGCTTTACTGCATATACAGACTAATTTTACTGTTGTGGGTTTAGTAACACTTTAAATGTTAAAAACATCCCTTTTTTAAAATTTGCAAAAATCATTCCAAAATGTTGTTGCATGTTTTCAGCTAAACTAGCTAACAACAAGTTACAGGAAGTGTGTTACTGGTAGGATCACCTGATGAAAATAAAAACAGTGAGCTTCTTCAGACCCAAATGATCTCCAGGACTAGGCTTTGTGAATACGCCTCCCCCCAGCTGAAGCCTCAACTGGGACCTTGGTTTCTTCTAGATGGCACTGCCAGTAATATGCCCCGGGGCAGAGCCCCTGCACAGGGGTCTAGCAGGTCCCCAGGAACTCTGCTCTCATGTTTCAGGCCCCACACATATATGGGCTCTCCTACTACCCTAGTGGGCATATCTCCCTAGGAATTGGAGCCCCATAAATATTCAGGTTGCCTAATCTGTTCTTCCTCCAACTAGAATTCTAGAATTCTAGAATCCTCTAGAATACAGGGGGGAGTAATCAGAGCATCAGCCTGTGAGACCCTGAGCAGGCCTGAATAATCAACCCCTGCTCCACTGATTATAGAGCAGCTAACTAAATTTACCTAACAATCTACACTACTCTAGGAGGGTGCTACACCAGGATAGTTTAGGGGGCTAAGGAGAGTCTCTGTGGGGGTTGTGAATTATTTATTTACTATACAGTAGGCCAACTTATTCATTCAAAGTTAAGTAAACGTTACTGTTTGGGCAGTATGTTTTTTTCCTATTGGTGGAAGCCCACTGAGGAAAGCCAGTAATCACCTTGTCAAGAACAAGCACCAGACTAACCATCTTGTTCAGTTACATGTTACTTCCTTTTATAAGGAGTAGAGATGTGGGAAAGACTTCCCCCCTTGGCCAATCACCTTTTGGTTTGGTACCCATCTAGGTGTGAAAAAAGCCTCTAAAGTGACCATGGATTATATGGAGCAGTCAGTTCCTATGGCTAAGGAGGAGTTACGATTTCCAACTTCAGCACTCATCATCCTGATTGCAGAGAGTGCAAACACATGACTGTGGTGGACACTGGGCAGGGTCCATATAATCATTTAGCTGGTAGTTTTACAAGGTTCGGACATGATATTTGTTATCTGCACGTAGCTCATAGTTCATACAATTGAAAGGAATCATTATCACCTTTCCATGACTAACATTTTGGATCATATGAGTGATTAAACATCTTCCCTCTGATCTTTGGCAAATGATAATGATCCTAGAAAGTGTAGTGCATTAGCAGTCACACAAAGTCTGAGAAGATTCTTCTGATGGTTTGCTCCCCATTGAGGTGATAATTGATTACTTTTAAATAAAGCTAAAAAACCTTCAGATCTAGCAGCAAAGTGTTGATTTCTCAGACCAAGAAGCCCATTGAGAGTGAACTTTACCTTTGAAGAACACTGCTCAGTTTCTTTTTTTTACCACTTTAACCACCTCAAAAGTGGACACTTTCAACCCCCTTCTTGCCCAGGCCAATTTTGAGCTTTCAGTGCTCTCACACTTTTTGGAAAGCAGACATCCTGAAGTATTTAGATAATAGAAAAATAATAATCCCTTGCTCTTGAAAGAAGAGCACTGATAAGCAGTCAGCGAGTGCTCTTCAACTGATCCAACAAAAGCACCGTCTTTGCTGCCGTCTCAACAGGCCGGGGAAATCCAGAAAACAAACTGCAAAAAGAAGACATGATGATTTTATTAAAGATAAAAAGAGTAGATATATACTCACAAACAACACAAGTAAAAAGGCATATCAAACTCCATAATGAACATAAGAATGTCTGGTCTCCTGTATGAATCCCAAATGTGTGAAGACCTTCCTAAAGGCTGATGCATTTCGAGGAGTGATCCCCTCTTCATTAGAGCCAATTTTGGATACTGCATAACAAACCTTACTTGTGTTTGTGAATATACATTTATTCTTTTTATCATTAATAAAATCATCATTGGGGTAATGAGTTGGGCTGGTGCACCCTCTGTCTCTCTTTGATCGTGAGGAATTTAGTGAGAGGCATGTTGAATTTTTTGCAGTTGTAATTTTTCCCACAATCCTTTGCAAAGTAAAAAAATTAAATAAAATTTGTGGGGGTTTTTTCCACAAAATTGTCATTTTAACAACTTATTTCTCACAGGTGGCATAGGTATATTTGCAATTACACCCTAAAACACATTCTGCTACTTCTCCCAAGTAAGGGAATACCACATAGGTGAGATTTTTTCACAGCCTAACCACAGAGAGGGGACCAAAATCCAAGAAGCACCTTTGGGCTTTCAAGGAGAATAAACTATGCATAAATTACGCATCTAATTTCCTGACTACCTATCACACAATGAAAACACCCACAAAATTACCACATTTTGGAAAGCACTGGTACACTGACAGATGTTGATGGGACACTGGTACACTGTGACAGATGGGTTTGTGCACTGATAATCTGTCACAGATATTTTTGTGCACTGGTACACTTTGACAGATGTTGATGGGACTCTGGTACACTGACAGATGTTTTTGTGCACTGGTACACTATGGCAGATATTGATGGTCCACTGACAGATGTTGACGATCTACTAGAGATACCAACAGATGTTGAAGTCCAGTAGGGATACTAACAGATGTTGATATTGCTATAGGACTCTATTGACAGATGTAAATGGGACATTGGTACTCTGACAGATGTTTTTTGTGCACTGGTACACTGTGACAGATGTTGATGGGACACCTGGACAGGAACAGATGGTGCTTGGTGCACTGGTGTGAGATGGCTGCACTGTGTGTGATCTGTGTGTAGCTGCACAGGAAAATCAGCAGCTACACACAGATCACTGCCAAGCTGCAACGATTCTCTCTCCCCTTCCTCACTGAGCTCAGAGGGAGAGCTGATACAGAGGCATGTGCCTATGTTTAGATTGTGTGATGGCTGTGATTGGACACAGCCATGTTTGGGAGGGCCAATCAGAGAACCCAGGTCGTGGCCTGTGATGCACTGTAACCCAGGGACACAGCCATCACAAGATCGCACCGCTGAGCAGCCTCAGAGTCTGACAGGATGTACTTGAATGGTGCTTGTCCCACCTGGCTGGCCGTTTATGTACAATGACCGTGTGAGAAGCGGTTAAAGAATGTGTAAAACCAGCATTTCATATTCCTAATATGTGCCTGCTGTACCATGTACTTGTATGAAAAAGTATCCTGTTCTCTTTGTATGGCTTCCTTTGTGTAAAATCCCTGGTATTCCTGCTTTCCTATGATGAAAAACTGACTGCATTAGGCATAAGAGCACAGAGTGGTCAGTTCTCTAGCTAGTGTGCTCTCCTCCAATGATCAGATATCTGCTGACACACCCTCACCTGCACAGCCAGCCACCGGGAAGATTAGTGTCCTGCTGTTTCTCCTCCCCCAGCTCTTATGCAGCTGAGAACAGAGGGTATGTGCTTGATCACTTATAACAAAAAATGGGGGGAAAAAGGTATTTGTAATGTTCTTCTATATCTATACACACATGTTTAATTTCAATTTTAAACTGAATGAGTTGTTTTACAAGGTGAAGGTTTACAATCACTTTAAGGCCCCTTTCACACACTTGGTTTGTTGTGACCGCTGGATCCTGTGGTAAGAATCTGCAAACTTCTTGCTGCTGGAATTACCGAAATATGCGATCTGCAGCAGCCACTCAGCCCATTTAAAATAATGGTGGGCCGACAGCAGCCACTGCTGATTGCATGTAGCCGCACACAGAGATTATCTGTGGTTTTGGACAGATGTCCAAGCCTTGATGCAGCTGAATGAGAAAGTGACAGATTAAAATTGTTTCACAATGCATTTATTCATCACCTCAGGATATAGTAGCTGTCTTTACAAATTTTGAGATGATAAAATTCTTTAAGTGGAGTACATTGTTAACTTTGATCGCTGGCTTCTGTGCTGCTACATTTGTATGCCTTCCAGGGCTCAGCCTACTTATAATCACTTTCAGATAACAGTCAAGATTGTTCCAAGCTGTATTTTTGGCATCTGTGCCTGTGTTTCAGACGGCACAATGAATAAAGGAATACATGTGCAAAAATTACAAAAACTGGCAAATGTGGTCAC